AAAATAAAATTTTGTTATTAAGATTTATTATCTCTGAAAAATAAAATTTTGAATCTGTATATTCCGTAAATAAAATCCCGTATAAAAAATTAATAAAACTTGCGATAAATTTTTATATTAATAATAAAAAAATATTTTACAAAGAGTATCCACTCATGATGAAATTAATTTTCCAAGTTTGTGAAAAACAGAATTCTTCTTATTTATTGATTAATCCTCTTTTTTTCTAAGCTGTCGCAACAGAAGCGCAGCTGGCACCACTGCGCGCCTCGCCGGATCGTCGCGGAAGTGGCATAATTCTGTTGGAAATTTTGTTACGTTGGCTCCGACCATTTTTTTTGTGCCTTCCAAGGTGAGAAGGATGCTGACAGAAGGAGAGACAGAAAACGTGCTAACTATGTGGAGTAGAGTTTCATTTGCGGCTCTAGGCGCAACTTACCCGAGAGGACACTTTAGCCGGAGCATTTGCTACCTACCGCTAAATTAGCGCTGGAATTAATCTCCATCTACTCTCGCGCTTCGCGTGATCTCTGACAGACCGTACGACTTCGACAAATATCGTATCATTTATGCGCTATGGCGCAGTAATAATATGTCCGACCACAAGGGCTTTGTCACATAATAATCAATAGTAGAAAAATTTGATATAATTAAGTAGCAGTTATTCACGATTATTTCTGATATATATATAAAAACGACGATTTTTTTATTCATATTATAAATGTAGACACATTTATAAATGAGAAATTCTTATTCATTAAAAAAAAATGATTATTATTCTTTGAATCATTAAGATTTTTTTTTAAGGATATCACTTATTACTTACTGTATAATCTCTGCAGTTTGAAATTTAAAATATATTAATATTTATATGAATATTAACGACATATACATACGAAGCAGTGTGAATTTTTATAGTTTACTTATATATTTGTTATAAACTTAAAAAAAATAACAAAAATCTTAATTTTTGTATAAATATTTTAAATATTTTAAATCAAAATTATTTATGTAAAGTTTCATTTCAATATAAAGATTATTATTTAAATAACCAAAACTATTTATGTAAAGTTTTATTTCAACATAGAGATTATTTTAAATAAATGAAATTTATTTATTTGTTTGTAAATTAATCTCTGTATTCCAATGAAACTTTGAATATAATTTTAGATTTTAGAATGTATACGATAATAAATGTTTCTTCTGTCATGAGACTGCTAATTCACGAAATAGTTTGGGAATTTTCCAAATAATCGGATATTTTGGCAATTCTTTGCATAACTTGGCAGTCGTGATATTACTATTGGATTTAGTTTCTCGGATGACTGCAGCGGCATTTTATTATTTTATCAAAGAAATAACAAGGAATTTAAGACAATGGTAAGTGCAAGACATGACCTGCAGCATTATTTGCTCTTGGAATATAAATTTTGTGACAGAAAGACGTTATTTATGTTTCCGCATTTGATTATATTTGATTGACCGGCACTGATTTTCTATACAATTTTTCCTTTGTCAGAAAATCAGTATAACGGATAAAATTAAATGAGCACATTTGCTCTTTGAGCACTCTGTATATTTCAGGTTCGTGAAACACGATTGGACTTTGGCGTAACTGTTCATTCTAAATGATTTAAGAATCTTCATATTCTAGATCACTTTTACATCAAAATCAAGACGCCAACTTGATAATGAACAATCGATCTTGAGTGTAAAGATTTGTCGAGAATATTTCAGGAATTCAAACCATACTGTTTATATATTGTTTATATATTGTTTAGATATAATTTAGTTTATTATAAATTATTTATTATTCGTGGATAATATAAATGGTGCGATAATTAACTGTTTGATAGTAAAAGCAGATCGAAATATATGCATATTTAGAAAAGAAAATTGAATTTTTATGATTTAAAAGTGTCGTTGAAAATTAGTTCCAAGGAATAGGGTTAATTATGAAATTATATGTATACATATAGAAAAAGTAGTTTTTATAAAATATTTAAAAATTTAGTTAGAGAGAGATCTGAAAATAATTTTGTTAAATCATTAAAATAATTATATAAAATTGAACGTTGATAACAATATTTAAAAAGGTTTAAATATTCTAACAGTTTAAGCGACTACTTAATTTAATGATCTGAACAATATAAATTTTTAGATACTTTAGCAAAACCGTTCTTTCCGTTCGTGCAGTTACACTGCATATAATTATAAAATTATTGAGCATATTTTTAACAAGTTTAATTTTGCTCTTATTTATGTTTCAAAATATATACTTTATAAGAGAATCTGTTTGATCTCGGCGTGCGCAAAATCATGTATTTAATATTCTCGTGATGCAGATGATTGCTTCTTGCGTCAACAAGAAATTATTGGCAAAGGCACTGTATTGGACTTTTTTCGACCTCTTTCCATCTCTGCGTGTGAATACTG